TATACCTAATTACACTTCAAATAAAAAAATTAAACATAAAATAAAAAATAAAATATGGGGATCCGTTGACTGGGTTTCTTTCTAGTCCATAAAAAGAAAAGAAAAAGAATAGATTGAGAGAAAATACTTCTGACTAACTTCTAGTGGGGCAGAGGTAGACAATTTGTGTTTATAATTATGACACTGAACTTCAGTTCAGTGTCATATCAACATAAAAACCCTTAAATACCAGATGTGTATTCGTTTGACCATCATTCGCTAATTTTCTTCCTTCCTTAAACATGTAATAAAAGCTACTGAAATATCAGTGCTCCCAAGGATACGCTCCCCTATTAGTATTTAAGCTCCAGAAGGGAAGTGACGTGGTTTGTTTTGTTTTGCCGGGTTCATAGTAGATGCTCAGTAAACGATGAAATATACAAATAAACATTTATGCTCTTTCTTTGGGAAATTCACATTAAAATATTCCTGGCAAAATCTACAATATGATATTCCAATTATATCAATGTTGAAATGTCCCTTATTTTAGTCAGATTATGTCACCCACTTTTCCGAATTTCAAATCTACAGACTTGCGGGTCATATCCCTCATTTCTCCTTTTACTCCTGACTCACCAAGCCACCGTCTCTAACATTACTCCTGCTTCACCTCCTGATGATTTCAGTTTCAGTGTACATATATTCCTTCCTGTACCCTGGCCTCTGTTTCTTGAACTCTGCTTCTAAAATGATCTTGTCCTCCTCTTTTGTCATACCTTAAACTTTGTCATTGCTAATAGACTCCTCTATAATCTCAGCTTCATGCAACCCATTCCCCACTCACCACTTCCTTCCTTTTCAGCTCACTCCTGCTAGTTCCCCTAGTATTTCTTCCAACCCATCAGGATCTCCAATTAGTTGACCCTACCCTCTCTCTCTCTCTCTCTTTTTTTTAATTCAAGTGACTCTACCTTCTCTTTTCAGTTCCTTTTCAGTTCAGTTCTCCACTGAGGTTGCTTGGCCAATCATGGTCCTGGTTAATCCCAACTGTCCATTCACCCTGCACAGCTGAACAGGAAGGGGAAAAACATACAATTGTGCTAACCAGTCTCACTTTAAATTCATAATCATGAACCTCAGGAGGACCCTCAATGCTGCCCAATAACCATGCTATATATACTTCTCTAGGAGACATCAAAGTGCAGATGTCTAGGGGTCAGTTGATATGTTAGTTGGCAATTTAGGAAGGTAACCTGAACTCTCCTAAACATAATTCACCAATAGTTTTCTCCTTCTCAATCCCATCCTTCATGTTGCTAGGGCCAAAAAGCTTAAAATGATCTTTGACTCTCCTCTTTCTCTTATCCTGAACATTTAATCCAACAGAAAATCTTGCTGGCTCTATCTTCAAAATTATTTAGAATTTAACCCAGAACCACTGCCTTCATCCTGACCGGAGCCACCACCTTCTCTCACCTGAACAATTGCAAACGCCTCCTAAATGCTATTTCTCATTTCCACCTTTGGTTTCCTACATTCTGTTTTCAAAAAAAACAAAACCAAAACCAAAAACAAACTAGAATTTTCCTTTAAAAATATTAAGTAAGGTCGTAACACTCTTCTATAGATAACCCTAATTGTTTTCTCATTTTACATAGAGTAAATGCCACATTCTTTAAAACCACCTACTAAGACCCTACCAGATTTGTTCTCCTCCACCCCATTACCTCTGTGACTTCACCTCCTATTACTCCATCAGAGAGTTGATCCAGTACAGCAACTCTGGCCTCCTTGCTATTCTGTTTCCAGAGCAAGCCAGACTCCTGCCTCAGGGCCTTTGCACTGACTGTACCCCTTTCCTGGGACACTCTTTTGACAGATATCTACATGCTATCTGATTCCTCACTTCCTTGAAATGTCACCTTCTTACTGAATCCTACTCTAACTACTTTTTTAAAAATTGCAGAGTACACCCCCTACACACACTCTCTTAATCTTCATTATCCCACCCTAATGTTTTGCATAGCACTTATCACCTTCTAGCATGCTACATAATTTTCTTATGTATTATGTTGTTTCCTCTCTGACTTCCCACACTGGAATATAAACTACAAAAGGTCAGCTATTTTAGTGGGTTTTGCTTCCCAAGCCCCTAGAACAGTGTCTGGCACATCATGGACAGTCAATAAATATTTTCTGGATGAATAAGCTTATAATGTAACTAGTTGAAATGAAACAGATTTAAAGAGTAAATTTTAATACATGATAGAAATAATCTTTGTGACTGAGAAATGACACTCCAATCGCTGATGAAGACCGTATTCTGAAGAATCAGCCTTACGTCCATCTTCTGAAGGAGTGACCATATGGGGCAAATATAAAAGTAGGGAAGAAGAATGACTTAGAATTTACAGTCAGCAACTTAGAATTTGGAGGAAGACAGGGTCATCTTACTAGGCAGTTGGCAAAATTATACTTAAGGAAAATTTGAGGCTGAATATGCTTTTAAAATTCCAGGAGTATAGGGACTCAAATCTTCTTAGATGAGCTGAAGTATTTATTACTTAACTCATAATGTTTTACAATTTATTTTTATTCTGTTTTATTGTTTTTATTTTTCATAGTTTTGTTTTGTCCTCCAAATGTAGACTTTTATTTTGCAAAAGAAAGAGGAACAGAGGAAGTCTACATGATAACACTAGATTTCCCCATAACAAATAGCTCTTTCTTCCTCCTTCCCTGACATTCTTCCCCCTGGAAAACTTTGTCTTTATCTCCACTCTGTCATAACCTATATGTTTCACATCTAGTCTTTCTCTCTTCAATCTACGTCATCACATTTACCAATGGGGTCCCGATCCTTGTACAACATCTCAGCTTTCTTGACTCCAGTCTCCCTGCCCCCTCCCGTGTAAGTCTGACAGACATTAAGTCTGTCCTGCACACATCTCCCAGACAACTTCCCTGCAGCTATATTTTCAGCGGATCGGTCCCCTGCTTTAAAGCTATAAGGAATATTATTTCCCACAGGTCTTAAGTCATCTCTCTAAACCTCAAGTCTCTTTGCTGTCTGGTATCTCCCAGGACAGCAGGAGTCTGGGCTGGGTCTGAGTCCCATTTGTCCCCATTCTATACACTCCTGGCACTGAGCTTTCTCTCTCCTGGTCCCCTCCCCTGAGACACCATTGTCGTCCTGTCCACACATCCACATCCAACATAGCCATTAAGGACTTCTAATACTTCAGCCTTCACTGACCACTCTTTTCTGAACTGTCCCAAACCTGCAACTATATGACATGATTTTTTTTAAACTTAATGGTACTTTGATTGACTTGCGTGTTAACTGCTTTACTTGGTTCCATCTTGGGTTTTTTTTTTTTTTTTCCCCAGCAAAATGAGAATCATCTTGAGGGCAGAAATCCCATCTTACACTCATTCCCCAGACCTGACTCTACATTAAATGTACAATAGGTACATAATAAATTCCAATATTGATTTCGAGGAACAGTTTCTCCCACATTTAACATCTCTAAAGTTGGGATATGTTTTGTGATTAATGGTGTCTTATAAATGCTGGGTAGAAGTCACAACGTAGTATTCATTGCCTGCAAAAATATAAAATCGGCCCTGTGTATGTTGTTGTCACCTCGATTTGTTAAGTACACTATTGGTGTTAGAGATGTTGAGTGTAATTGCCATTTTTAAATATTTTCTTAGAGTTTGCACTATGATTTGATATTGAAATGAAAAACTGTTGTATATGCAGCAATGTACCAAAACAGGGTATAAATTTGATATCAATGAAGCAAATACTCACTGTTGAAGGAACGATTGTGATTCGGTGTGCCTCGCAAAGTAACAACCAGCTGCTTTATGGGGCCTAAGAAATGCTGATACTTACAAGTAAAGGAAGCTGTTGTTATGTTGTGTTACCGAGACACAAGCAAAAAAATGCCTTTTAGATGCCAAGCAAGGCTACTCAGGGCTGGAGAATTTGCCACATCCCTCAGAACAGATAAGATAATTTTCAAAGCCATGATAGACTAATAGGATTGATTCATATGTTGCACAGAATGATCATGAGATATTTTGTCAGAATGTCACTGTCATAAAATAATGGTGTGTTTCATAACCGATAGCCTCTTAGACTCAAGAAAAGGTGGCACGTATCTGTGCATGTATGTGCGCGTGCATGTGTGTGCGAGCGTGCGCATGTGTGTGTCTTGCTGGCTTTCTTGCTTGATTGATGGTATGGTGAATTACTTTTAGACCCAATTTCATTTTATTCTTTTGTAGTTTAATGAACAGGATTCACAGATTCTTCTGGTTGTATTTTTTGGTTGAGATTTTAACTCTTTCTGTCCTAACTAAAGGAACTGCGGTCGGAGGTGGAACTGGAAGTGTTAGGAGACACAGAAGGACTCAACCTATCTTTCACGGCTATCTGTAACAACGGGGCCCCCTTCCCACACCAGAAGAAATGCTCTCACATGAAGGTGGGAGACACAGTAAGTATAGGGTCAACAGATTGTCTGAAAAAATATTCAGGTAAGTCAGAAGTTCCCTTGTTGCATTGAAGCTGGATTTTTCCTTTCAAGAATTTCAAAAGCGGTTTTCAAAAATTCCCTAATAAGAGCTTTTGGCAAAGCTGATCCCCGTGCACCTTGGTTTCCTGTTACGCATTTCGGTGGATGGAAGAAGATAATTAGTATTTTCTTTTCCAGGCTTCATTTAACGTGACTGTGAGTATACCAAACTGTGAGAGAAGAAGCAGGCACATTACCATAAAGCCTGTGGGGCTGGGGGACGCCCTAGAAATACTTGTCCGTCCGGAATGCAGCTGTGCCTGTCAGAAAGAGGTGCAAGTGAACAGCTCCAAATGCCACAATGGGAACGGTTCCTTCCAGTGTGGGGTGTGTGCCTGCAACCCCGGCCACATGGGTCCTCGCTGCGAGTGTGGCGAGGACACACTGAGCACGGACTCCTGCAAGGAAACCCCGGATCACCCCTCGTGCAGCGGGAGAGGCGACTGCTACTGCGGGCGGTGCACCTGCCACTTGTCTCCCTATGGAGACATTTACGGGCCTTACTGCCAGTGCGACAATTTCTCCTGCGTGAGGCACAAAGGGCTGCTCTGCGGAGGTAGGTGTCGTCTAAACCCACCGCACACCGCAACTGGGCGAGCATCAGGAAGGGGCTTTGCGTCCTTTGCACCTTCCCCAGTTTTCTGGGCAGAGTAGGCGCTCCATACATAGTTGCTGATCGAGGGAGCGGGTTAATCTCTAGAGCTAAGGTAACTGGTCTTCGCTGGCATTTTCTCTGGGTCTTACATTCTCTTGGGGTGAGAGCTCTGCCAATTCAACTCACATCTCTCTTGTTATTTCCCCCAGAGTTCAGTAGGCAAGAAATGGAAATGCCTTCTCTTTGGTTATTACCCAGACTCCACAAAATTGCATGTAATCTGAACTCCATTATCTTCCAGACTTTTCTCGATCAGGCTCTTGGGTATCCTACCCAACTCTTAAATGCCTATTACTTTGGGAAAATAAAAAGCTAGGCTGCTTAAGGAGCATATTGCCAAGGACAAGGGACTCAGAAATACTAAATGAACTTTCAGGGCCTTCATTCATTCCACAGATATTTATTAAACACCTATTATGTGACAGATACTAGATTAGGCACCGGGTATAATAAAGATGAATAAGGACATATGAAGGCTATGGAAAGGGTAAAAATGAAACGTTGCCTGGAATTTTTTTAAGATCGAGAACATGTTTAAATAGCAGAAAAATATATGTTTTAAAATCCTTTGCATATGGAGAATCACTGTAGTTTAAGAATATATTGCATATACTTTGACTATTATAAAAATCATTCTGATCTATATCCATATAGTTAAGTATAATCTATCTGCATAAGAATTGCAAATGTGTTCATGTTCTTTAAAATGACATAAATTTGTGTTACAACAGGAATATTAACTAACAGCTGAATTTAAGCTCCCAATGTCTCCCCTTTTCAGTATGTGAGCAGGCAGCTTTTCAAAACAGAAAGCCATTATCTTTAAAGAAAACTAAGAAAGTTATGTTTTCAAACTACAGTGTCAGGAACATATAAAAGAGACTGGTTTTCAGGAAAAAAAAGGCCTGAGAAGAGAAGCCTCAAAGAACTCCGAGCTCTTTGAAAACCCTGTGATGCCCTGTGATACCTCCATTTCATTTCTTTGCTGCGGCTCTTGCTACCAACATGTTCCTCTGAGGCTGTCTTCTTTCTTCTCCCCAGAGAATGAAAAATTTAGGGTCTGTCCAGATTGAGACACATTTCTCCCCCCTTTCATTCGGAGGTCTATTTCCTTATTTAATGGGTGTGTTTCCAAACCCACATCAGTTCTCTTCTCATAAGATGTAGGCAGGACACAGCCCGAAGCCAGAGGCTGTCCCGGCGTCTTGTAAAGACTATGCTCGGCAGATTCCCAGATTGCATCTCTAAGAAAAATCTTTTAATAAAATATGTGCTCTAAACATTTGAAATCACCTTTCCAAAAAAATTCTACCTGTAATCTAATACAACAGGATAGCAGTCTTACCCCCACCTATATTTCACTCTTTAAATCTCAGATCACAGAAGTCTAGAGCAGTGTAATTGCCGACCTGTGCTGAGCAACACAGTTCTTCCAGTTTGTGGATGGTCTTTCACTTTACTTGGTGCCATGCATGCAAACGGAAAAGCACTCAGAAAGAGTTGACTTGATCTGTGCATTGTAGTTGGGAAGGTCTGACAATAGGGCCTCTCTTTGTATCAGATACAAGGATCGCTAGAGACATTCTATTTAGAAAACACAATTATTTCCTTAGCTGGACTCAGAAAACTTCCCTAATGCCAATTTCCTTCATATTTGAGGGTACTTTACAATTCTCAATCTATTAGTGTTTCTCAAAATCTATTTTGTTTGTAGTAACATCGCAAAGGATGTCACTGTATTATTAGTAACTTTCTCTTTAAAAATGTATGATAGGGGCACCTGGGTGGCTAGGTCACTTAAACTTCCGACTCTTGATCTCACTCAGGTCTTGATCTCAGGATCATGAGTTCAAGCCCCGAGCTGGGCTCCACACTGGGCGTAGAACCTACTCAAAAAAAAAAAAAAAATTTTTTTTAAATGGGATAATAAAAGTAATATTATTCAAATTCAACAAATAGTTATGGATTACCTACTACGTGCCTGACATCCTGCTTAGTGCAGGGATAAAAACTGTGCCTGACTTTGTGGACAGACACTCTGTTGTTTGCAGCAAAGGCCAGAATATGCTCCAGCTCCCCTTCTCATGCAGATCTCACTTCTTTGACAACAAATTCACTCTGCAATGTGCCACTCCTCTGAAGGCCTATTACCACAACGTTCTTTTTCATGTACCTTCTTTCATCCATCTTTAAGTACTCACAGATATAGGGCTCCATTGATTTATTCTCTTGCCCAAATTCCATTAGTCTTTTATATTTTGATTCTAAGAAATGGGAAACTAACAGGCAAATGGCATTACAGAAAATACTTCCTGCCATTATGCACTTAGAGTTATCAGTCAATGGCATTCCAGAAAGACCTATCCCTCTGAAAAGAGCCTGACAATTATGTCTTGATCTTTGGTCATCATCTTGCTTCTACATGAAGCCATTGTGAATGTTTTGTTGTTGCTTTTGTGGTTGTGGTTATATGAACAGGTACTTTATAATTGGTTGCTTGTGGATATCAATTAGCAGTGATATGGTGGATGGTTCTGGAAAGCCCACAGAAAGAAGGGCTTCTAACTTCTGACAGGAGCTCTTAATTTCTGCCAACTAATTCTTACATGCAGTGATACACTTGGGCATTCTCGAAGGAAATGCACATTTCATTTGACTATTTATAGATCACATTAATTTTCTGGAATAAACTTTAATATAGAAATCTATCCCTATCATGAGAATACGTTTCCCTTTTTTGCTGAGGAAGAAACAAAAAGCAATTGTATTTTAGAGGATAACTTAAGACGAGCTATGTCTGCAGCAAGTTTCCATGCACCGCCTCCTTCAAGCTCCTCTGCCCTAGGTTTCCGCAGCTTTGCTCTCATTGCTCTCCTACTTCAGTTCCCTGGTAAGATCCTTCTCTCTGATCACATTTTTTAAAGATTTATTTACTTGAGAGAGAAAGAACATGAGCAGGGGAGAGGGAGAAGCAGGCTCCCTGCTGAGCAGGGAGCCCCATGTGGGGCTCCATCGCAGGACCCTGGGATCATGACCTGAGCCGAAGGCAGATGTTTGAACGACTGAGCCACCCAGTGCCCCTCTCAGATCACCTTTTAAATGCTGATGATCTTCAGGGCTTCTCTCAGTCTATCTGTTTTCTCTACATGACCAATCCACAACAGCTTTACCTGCCATCTATCTCTGATGGGTCCAAACCTCAAACCTCTCTGCCTCTTTTTCCGTATGTATACATACGTGTGTCTGTGTGTGTGTGTATTATAATTGGTATTATATATATATATATACACATTATATGTGTATGCCTACTACAATGTCCCATGGGTCCCTCAGAACTCAACAGAGCCAAAAATGAACTCATCATCTTCCCTACCCAAAGCTGCTCTTCTTCCTCTGCTTGAGAACAATCTATTCGTTCAATAATTAAGCCCTGTGCCAGGCACTGGGGAAAAGTCAGTGAGCGTGAGACGTCAGCTTCCATTCCGGGTCACTAAAAAGCTGCACCATCCACTCAGCAGCCCAGTCTGGTCACCTGGGGAAGATTCTATCCCTCTCTCTCTTCCCTGCCCCACTGCACCATGGCCGCAATGGCACTCATGCCCTGAGTATTCATCACCTCAACTGTATCCTCTTTCCTCTCCATTTCCACTCGCACTGTTCAGGACCTCAGATCTTCTTTCCTCATTTGCTGCAACAAAACCTCCTAACCAGTTTTCCTGTCTCTAGTTTGACCCTCTCTACTGAGGCCAGGATATTTCTAGACACATGGCTATTTGTTCAGGTCTCTACTTAAAATTCCATAACTTTCAGGATAACAGTTCTTTCTTTAGCCCATAAAGCTTTTCATGATGTGATTTCTGACTTTCCGTTGACCTTTCCAACACCCACCCCCCGCCATCCTGCCCTCCTGCCACAGCTCATATGCACCTTTGGCTCTATCTATATGAAACTACTGTGGGTATTAAGCAGGTCACATGATTACAGACTTCTGTCATTTACCTATGCTTTTTTTCTCGGCTTAAAATGCATGTAACCCTCTTCTGTCTTCTATCTATAGCATCCGAATTCAGCTCAAGCATCACCTCTTTTGGAAACATCCCCAAATCGCTGATCTAATTTGAAAACTCTCCCTCTGTGTGCATAACACTTATCCCATTGTACTATATTTACTTGCCTGTCTCCTACTCTAAACAATAAGCTCAGTGACCTTATTTAATTTTGTATCTTCATGCCTAATGCAATCTTCAGCACATGATATATGCTCAATTAAAGTTTCTTAAATAAATGAATTTGTTGAGCACTCACTATATGCCTGTAGGACACCTAATTGGTGAATGCAAAACTAGAAGAGTTACACATTATCTCATCTGACCACAACTGCTGTAAGATTTTATTCCCTCTATTTGATAGATGAGGCTTTTATGATCACTCGGCTTGAATGATGTAGAGGTGAGGCATTATCCAGGTCTGTGCTGCATCTCTATCTTATGGCACCCTAATTAAAAGCAAAAAAAAAAATTGTAAAAACAATTTAAATACACACACACATACACATAATCACACACACACCCCCCAAGTTGCTATTATAGGCTTCTAGATTATCTCATTTCATCTGGCTATAAGTTCTTTTTGATATAACATCAGGTAATCAGATTGGTCTTCAGTTAAGAGACCAGATCAATAAATATACACACTTAGCAAAATTCGTTCCATAAAATATACCTACACTCACCGCTCCCCCTACTCCCCACACGCTCATTTTTTTCTCATTTTTCTTCAGTCTTTCTGATGGTGTTTAAAGGCAAAGGGAAAACATGCTCCCCCCACCCAAGTAGCCATGGCCCTAATCATCACCGGGCGTTTGTTTTGCAGATAACGGCGTGTGTGACTGTGGTGAATGCGTGTGCAGGCCTGGCTGGGCGGGCGAGTACTGTAACTGCACCACCAGCACGGATTCCTGCGTCTCTGAGGATGGGGTGCTCTGCAGCGGGCGAGGGGACTGCGTCTGTGGCAAGTGTGCTTGCACGAATCCCGGAGCCTCTGGACCGACCTGTGAACGTTGCCCTACCTGTGGTGATGCCTGTAACTCTAAACGGTAATGTCTCAACTTCCCTCCTGTTGCTTTTGGTGGGTTTGGTCTCTGAGCATCCACCCAAAAACACAAACCCACCAGGTCCCTGTGATCATCAGCCTGGAACATCAGTGTCTCATTTGCCTCTTTCTTTGTCCTGATTATCCGGGACCACAATGTCACATTTCTGCTAGAGACAAGCCTGGGGAAGCTGAGCTGATGTCCCACACTGATAACATCAGATGGCCTTTCACTTACAATACCAGCCACACAGAAGGAATGCCCTGGAGGTAGACGGATGACACCCACATTCAGTGCCTTTTCAGGGGAAACAGACAAGCTTCTTCCTTATCTAGAAGTGTATAGCCTCACCGGGCTGATTCATTCCCCTCTATAGACCCATGGAGGCAAAAAGGCAGAAAAAGGATCGTGGCTTTCCATTTCTTCCCTCTTCTTTACCACTCATGCTCTTTGGCACCTCTCTTTGGTTGTCATTCTACACAGCTATTGTGTGTTGTGTTTTCTTTTATACCATATGAACAACAACAACAAAACACTTTTTTTTTGTTTTACAGTGAACCACTATTTCTTTGGTTGGTAGCTAATTTCTTAATGGAAGTGGGGGCAACATTTCTAGGTCAAGTGAGGCAAATCTCCAAATGGGCTGTGTGATGACATTGCAGTATATAATGTATTATGCAGCAAACATGCTTAAGCAGTTCGTAGTTTCATTGACTCTATACCCAACGTGGTGACATTTGCATTTCCAGTGTAAACAAAGTAAGAAAATCAATATTCACTCAGTCGTTCCTCACCATTCAGGTGTCAAAACTTCTCTGTCACTGTGCCTGGACATACGCCAAGAGAAGTATGGGGACATGGTTAGACTTACTTGAATGGAATTAAATGTAAAATGTCCTTTCAGGATGTTTCTTCCATTATTTATCTATTCAATCTTCTCTATAAACATGATTCAATGTAAAATGTGGCTTATAAAATATGAAGTTAACAGTCAAGGTAGTTTGAATTTGAGGAATCAGGTAATCTCCTTGGTGTTTATCTTAGCTTTGAGATGAATCCATTCTTCCATTTATTCATTCATACATTCATTTATCAAATAGATATTAAGTACCTACTGTTCACCAGAAATCCTGTTAGGCCAAAGGCATACAGTGATGACTGAAACAGTTACAGTTCCTGCCGTCACAGGTGCTAAGAATCTAGTGGGAAAAACAGACATTATTTAAAGTAATTATAATGATATCTGAGCTCACACTCAGGGCAGAGGTATGACACTAGCTTGGGCAGACATCAATGAGATGCACGGAGGGGTAGAGGTTTTAAGGGTTTCCGCAGTGTCCAGGAGTCCCCTGCAAAACCACTCTAAGTAAATATATAACCTAGATAAATGCAATATACTTGCAGTGCAAAGGCAATTTCCAGCCAAGACTTCTATCCCCACTCCCACATAGATTGCGGCTCCTCAGCCCTTCCTACAAAGGAACACAGAGGCTTCCACGGCAAGAGAAGTAACCGGTAAGGGTCAGGGAAGGCTTGCCTAGGGCAGGGCACTTTCGGCTGAGATTGGTGGAAGCCTGAGGGCGGAGCATGGGGGGGTGCTGCACAGAATGTTTCCAGCACTTAAAAGAGTATACATTTGCATGGCCTGGGGAAGAGAGGCAGGATGATACGTAAGAAAATTTTGCTGTTTGGGGTTACTCCAAACAGAATCTGGTTGTAAAGTGATTTTCAGCACAAGATTAATTCAGAGTCTGAGTTTTACTTTGCTGCGTAGACATCACTAGAGAAGCTTAATTCCCTGGCTATGTTTTTGGAAATACACTTTTCTGTAAGTAGCAATCGTTTATTAAAAACCCTGCATGAATGAGGATCCAAGCTGTAACCTCAGCTTTTGAAAATACCCCTATAAGGCTTAGACTCATTCAAAATAGTTACAGATAAGTGAATCTTTAAAATAGTCATTCATGACATGTATGAAATCTTAGAATTCTTGTTAAAATACAGACCATTTCTGTTAAGAAATTCAAACTTTGGTCACTGATCATATTTTAGGAGCATACACCTTTCTCATGAGAATGTAAAATGAACCAAAAAATTAAATCAAATACCAAAATAAGTGTGTCTTACTCTTGGGGTTACTTTGTTTGTTATTTAACCCATCAGAAGCAATCATTATAAATAAATGAGGATAGTAGCTATTATCAAGCCTGGCTCACAAAACACTGATTACTAAGGGGAATCAGAATAAAGCAATTTCCTCTTGAACATCACCCAAATATCTTTCTGAAAGTAACAAAAGGCAACGTCCTCTATGAGACACTCTTATAGCACGAATCACAGTAACCACATTAAAGCAGTATCCCAGCTGCATATCTGTTTTCCACCAAAATGAACTGATAAACTCTACTGAATAATGTTCACAGGAGCTGCATTGAATGCCACCTGTCTGCAGATGGCCAGGCCCGAGAAGAATGTGTTGACAAATGCAAACTAGCTGGGGCGACCATCAGTGAAGCAGAAGGTTAGACTGGTCTTAAATTGCTTTCTTTTCCTTTATATTGTTCTTGAGAGGCAGAAACTCTGTGAAGGGCTTTTCAGTAGCTCGACCTCATTTGAACCAGGGCACTAGTTCAACATTAGTTTTTTTGGTTTTGTTTTTTAATTTTATTATGTTATGTTAGTAACCATACAATACATCATTGGTTTTTGATGTGGTGATCCACGATCCATTGTTTTCGTATAACACCCAGTGCTCCATGCAGTATGTGCCCTCCTTAATACCCATCACCGGGCTAACCAATCCCCCCTCCCCCCTCCCCTCTAAAACACTGTTTGTTTCTCAGAGGCCATAGTCAACATTAGTTTTTAAGAGTAAATGCATCCCATAAGACTAAAAACGTGATGGTTTGGGATACAAGCAATTTAAAGTCATAGCTATTCTATTTGACTTCGGCTCTGTTGGCAAGCTCACCTTTGCTTAACAAATGCAATTGTAGAGAACTCCAGAATGTTATTTTTTAATTAGAAAAGAAGAAAAAAAATTTTTTTTAATTTAATTTATTTATTTGTTGGAAAGTGAGAGAGAGAAAGAGCACAAGCAGGGGGAGCGGCAGGCAGAGGGAGAAGCAGGCTCCCTGCTGAGCAAAGAGCCCAATGTGGGGCTTGATCCAGGACCCTGGGATCACGACCTGAGCAGAAGGCAGACGCTTAACCGAATGAGCCACCCAGGCATCCCAAGAAGAAAATTTTAAAAATAGCTAAATGTTAACCCCTAAAACTGAAATCATCCTCTATCATCCTACTGCCTTATCTCAAGATAGGACAAGGTGAAGTGTAAGAGGGTTTCCGGAGAGCAGGCCTGAGACACCAGGTAGTTTCTGGTTAGTGGCCATTTTCCCTCCACTCCTTTACGTGTGCTTTAACTCCCAACTTTCCAAACACGGGTGTTACATGACCACCCTTAATTCCCTGTTGCTCACCCCCCAAATACAAGAAGGGCCTGTGACCTTTAACTGCTAAGCAAACTCGGCTCTTGCTTTCTTTCACCATCATTTTAAAATTTAATGACTTAAACTTGGATTCTTTTTAATGGCAAAATATCATCTCAGATATTTAAATTGGTTGTATTTTGGCTGGGAAGCCCACTTAAAAAATAATTTGTGAAGAAGATGACTAGCTCCTCCTCAAGGGACAATCTAGGGGGATTTGTTCTTCCAGCATCCCAAACTCTGCATTCTCAGGCAGCTCTGGTGGACCTGCTGCTCTACACGCTTTAGAGAAGGGACCAAGACGTATCTCAGGCAAAGTGCAATAATCAAGACAATGTATGACACTCTAGGATATGTGTCTTGAAGAGACAGAAATAGAATAGAGAAATTAATCCATTTCCAAAGTGGAATAAGTTAGTGGCATTTATATTGTTTTGAAAATCACGTACATTGTTTCAAAATTGAGATTTCTGACAGTGCACAGTTGAATAACCCCATATGGAGGAACATGATTAGTGCTCATAATACCCCTCAGTTGTGCCTTTCTGGTGACTAAAGATAGATATGCCAAATAACCATAAATTGGGCAAGATGGTGTGTACCTTACACTAATACTGAAAGTAGGATGCCGTAAAATCACTGAGGAAAGCAGCATTTGTGGACTGGCCACATTAGTAACTAGCTCAAAGTCAGTGCATATCCTCGGGCTTCATTTCATGGCAAACAGTTGAGATATTTACCAAGTGTTTCTAAGAAATGCCTAAAAATTGCAGAAAATGTCCTGCAAATGACTAGAACTCCATTCACAGGCAGCATGGGAAAGTAATGTGCTGAGGGGGAAAAAGAGTAAACCTTGGAAACATGGTTAAGTCCTGAACAGAGAGTTACTATAGTTAAATACATAGTTTTCTGAGTAGATTATCATTAATGCTTGGATTTGAGAGGAATAATAGGTCTCAAGGGGCATTAAAAATATTTGCATATTTTTTTAACATTTTATTTATTCATTTGAGACACGGAGATACAGAGAAAGAGAGAGCATGAGCAGTGGGAGAGGCAAAGGGAGAGGGAGAAGCAGGCTTCCCGCGGAGCAGGGAGCCCGATATGGGGCTCTATCTCAGGACTCCTGGATCATGACCTGAGCCGAAGGCAGACCCTTAACTGACTGAGCCATCCAGACGCCCCTTGCATTATTCTTTTTGTGTAACTGGGTAAATTATCTTCAAAACAGGTGAATACAACTATTTCTAACTGAGAAACTGAAAATAATAACTGGATTCCTAATACCATTTAAAGCACTAACCTTGTTGAATTTGAGAGAAAAAATATATTTGTCAGCCTATGAATTAAAAAGTCACTTTCCAATGAGGATTTTTATAAGTTCTATTTCAAGTTACTCACCCAGTATGACATTGATCACATCATCTTGAAATTATCACCACATATTTGCTCTTGCATAGGGGCTTTTATCAGCTCATCCTTCCCCCAACAAGCACATGGAGAGTAAAGTAAAATAGCATAACTTTATAATCCAAAGACATTATTCCTCAACTGCTGTGGAGACTTGCGTGAGCATCTCTAAAGATACGTGGTTTAACTTCACTCATTCCATTTTGCTGAAAGTCACTTTTTATTTTATTTTATTTTTTTTAAAGATTTTATTTATTTATTTGAGAGAGAGAATGAGATAGAGAGCATGAGAGGGGGGA